AGTAGTTTTAAAATAAAAGTTTCAAGAATGTTTGAGTATCAGCATTAGAAGATCTCAGATGTTGAAGCATGAAGGTGCAGTGCAGCGTGGCTGCAGAATGATGGGACATCCACTTCTTCACGCAGTTTTACTTCACAAAGAGCTTTGTGAAGAAAAAAAACTCGTGGTAGAATAGCAAGAAATTGGTACAAATAGTATTTTTATAGAGTATTTCTCACCTCATACAACACTCTTTGGATAACACCAGAGAGGGCTAGAGAAGCTTTTATTTTAAATGAGCAAGAGAAGCCTTTAAAGTTCAGTTGTGCTTCCTAAAATGGGAAATTTGAGCCTCTCAGGAGCAATCCCTGCTTGGAAAACCATGTCAGGAGGTGCAGTTCAGAATTTCAGTGTGTTACCTTTGGATAGAAGTTGCTCCATGTTTTGGCAAAGAACCTTGAGGTCATTGGAGAATCCCAGAGTTGGCTCATGTTTGCCAAGCCTGATGCCAACTCCTCTGGCAAATGCCACGAACAAGAGGCAGAGTGTTAGTCTGGGATCCACCCAGTCATGGAATCAGCAGAAATCACATCTTTGTGGTGTGAAAGAGGCCTTTTGATTTTTTTTTCCTTCCAAGTATTCCATCACTGAGGGAGAGGATGCAAGATTTCATTATCTTACAGCAGGTTTTTGAAGTAGGTTCTTCCATTCTTAAAGCAGTTGTGGAGCAATTGGCAATTCAGCAGCATCTCCTTCCAACTCACACTAAACTGGATAAATGCTGTCTTTCCTCTTGGAGATTCCTTCTCCTGGATTGCTGGCTCTGTAAAAGTGTTGTAAAAATAGTACCCACATCTGAAATGGTCTCAGGATTAATGTGTCGTCCCTTGCACTCATAAAAGAGAAAGATATCAAGTTATTTTAACAATATCTGTTTTCTGTAGCCCTGTGTTCACTGGCATTAGTTATGTCACCCCCCTTCAATTATTTTTGTCAGCACCCATATTAATTAGACTTCCTGTTACATTGCACTTCGATTATGATCTCATTTATTCCTTAAAATCATTTATATAGCGTTACAGAGTACATGCTAATGTTCTTTTTATTTTAGCGACAAGAAGAGGATTTCGCATTCGCGCGTTGCTGGGCTTTGGAATTTTCTCCCTGGATTTCGGTTCGTTTTTCGCGTCTGCAATACCAGGTACCACCACTGGGAGACGCTATTTAATCGAGTTTGGGTCGAAACGGGACCTTTTGCTTCCCTGCCCGTGTCTAACGGGCTGAAATTCCGCCTTTCAGCTTCCCTGAACAAACTGCTTGGAGTCGGTTATAACGTAACTCGACAATTTTCTCCACAAAATAAACTAGAAACCGATGCTGTTCTATGACAATAATAAAAACAAGGCTCGCAGAGCTCTTCAAGCATGTCAGGAATATGAAACTCCCCCATGTTTACAATTATTGGAAGCATAAAAGTAATTTATCACAATACCTGGTATTTACTGTGATATGCATTTGATTTTCTTCCCACCACCCTTTTCCTCCGTGGATGCAGCTCAAAACTTTACAGCACTGAAATCAAAGTTATGTGCTCTTTTGTTTCACTTAATTTTCTGTGACTTTACTTAGTTTATGCCAGGATTTTCACTATATTTAGTGCTGAGAGATCTCAAATATTATTTATAGGGAAAAAAAGCCTTTCTAGTGCCATTATTAGAATGTTAAACCTTATCTTCTTGAGGAGCTTTAGGTTATTTGGAGCTGGTGGATCCCAGAATTCCTGCTTTCATAAAATGTGTTTATATTTGTTCTGCTGGAAGTTATGAAAACAATTTGGATGAAAGGCCAAGGCCACCATATCAATCTTTTTGTCATCAAAATGCCTTTGATTTGGTCAGAGCCTTTACACTGGTGCTCAGAAGTGCCTTGGCCCCCAGGTTCAAAGGACAATGGTGCTTAGAGCTTTTCCAGCCCCTTCCAAATTGGGATTGCTCCCTGTGGTATATCCAGCTCAGCTTTGGGGTCAGTGCTGCACAGTGTCACTCTCTGAGCTTTATTTATTTATATACCCCAGTAAATAGAAAACAGAACTGCCAGGGTGACTTTTTGTAGTCACAGAAACAAGGAGGAGTTTCTGGGAGAAGCTGATTAATTCCCTCTTAGGCTTCTATCACTAGAAACTAAATGGGGTTGATTGTGGGGACTCTGCTGTTGTGATTTGCTCCACAAATGGGATATAAAAGGTTTTTCCTTGAGAGCTCAGTGATGTATATTGAAGCTAAAGCAAAATATATCTCACTGCATTTCTGGGCTGCACCTGTGCATCTTAGGGCTTTAAATTTTACCAAAAGCCCTTTGAGTAAAGATTTTATACCTATAACTGCTCTGTCCTCTGGCAAATCATGTTGCCTGGCAGGGCTGAATAAATAACAGGTTACTCTTTTTCTAAAAAAAATCTACAAGGGAAAAAAAGGCAAGATTTCAAGATACTTTCTTTTGTCATAATTATTGTCAAGAACTAAGTCAACCAGCAAATAATTCAGGAATATCTAATTGTATATAATAATGATTTAACCTCTGCTGCCCAGTTCTGTTTGTAATGATATTATTTGGGTTTCATTACTGTGGATGTGAAAACTGACCAGCAGTGAATACTTTTAATTTAGTGGAAAAGTCATAAAATGACATACATGCTGCTAACCACCGTGCAATTGGAGGGTTTCATTTGGCAAATGTTCAAGCTTAAAATGTGTTTTTCATGATTATCCCCCTTATTAAAGCTCATTTGCTATTCATGGAAAGTGAGCACAAAAGGGATGTGAACAGTCAAAGAAACCCATTTAAAAATTCCAATGAATATCCAAGGGAAATGGGTTGGAGTGTTTGCCCAGCTCTGCTGGGACACTCTGCTGCTGAACCTCTTCTCAGTGGGTGCCTTTGTCGTTGTCCTTAAGGCTTCCCTGACAAATCCTGGATGGTTTTGTTACAGCTTCATATTGCAGTCATTATGCAGAATTAGTTCTTGATATGGCTAAAGAGGTTTGCTGGAGTGAGGACGGTGAGAGGGTGTTCAGTTAAAAACTGATTTGTTGTGAGGCTGAGCTTAAATGGGGGGGGCTCAAAGCAACTCAGGTCTTTGGCCCTTGCTGAGACATTACTTCCAACATTACTTCCAACAGCCTTGCTTATCCCAGCCTCAGGGCTCCAGTTATCCCTCTGTGTGTAGGATAAATACCTGGGGATGGGAAGAGTCTGGATCATCATCTGTGTTTATTTTCCACACAGGCTGAGCTCGTGCAAGCTGAGCTCCCCTTCATTCTTCACTGTGAGCAGCCACATAGTTTCTAGGGGTAGATAACTGAAAAATTGTTGCATCATGCAGCCTGAGGTTTTGGAGGTGCAAGCTGAGGTCAAAGGCTGGTGCTTTTCAGAAAGGTCTTACTTCTTTAGCCAAATTTATGACTGCTGCAATTAAAGAAGATCAAATTATTTGCCTGAGGTCACATGGCAACTGAGTGGCTCAGCCAGGACTTGAGCCAAAGATCCATTCCCTTGGTTCATCACCCTTGACTGTCAATAGCAGATTTAATTCTGGTTTATGAAGATATTAGGAAGGTTTTATATGTTTTATAAGTTTCTGAAAGAGACTGAGCTGCCATTATAATGAGGAAATAATCTAATGGGCTAATAAAACTTCAGAAAAAACAAGATACAAAAAATACTGTCAGAGGAAGAAATGAAACCTTGGACCAGTAGTTTGGGTTGCACAATCAGGCTGCCTGTCACCTCTGGCTGTCCCCATGACCTCCAAAGGGAAAATCCACCATGGATTGAGAGGTTGGCTTTGCAGAGCAGAGGGAAGAAAGTGGCTGCTGCTGTGCATGGTCCAAAGAGAATCCTTTGGGGTCAAGAGGCTGCTCCAGGTTGCCTAAGGCATTATAACTGTAGATCAGGGATAAGGCAGTGTTCCAACACTTCCTGTGGAGGAAACTCTTGTGTTTAGTTCCAGAAATGAAGCTCCTTCATGTGGCAGCTGATAAGATGTGGAACTTTCTGGGGACACGAAGGACATGAGAATGCCAATCAACTACCAAAATGCTCATTTAATCTAGTGAGATTGCTGCCTGATTTTTTATACTGATGCTTATTTTAGATATTTTTCCACTCATTCTCTAGTCCCAGTTCACATTCCAGTGAGCCGTGTGGAGGGAGTGCAGAGCCCCAGTGTGAGCAGGGGCTGGATGAGCCAGTGCAGCTGCAGGGGGAGGAAAGTTCTGCTGGTGCCAAGTGAGGGGTGAAGAGCAGCCCCAGTTCTGTGGCAGAACAGTTCTGCATTTGCAGTCACGTGCCAGGAAAACTCTCACAGACACAGCCCAGACCTTTAGAAGCAGAGGAAAAGCTGGAGAGACAGTCCCTGATTATTTCAGTCTAATATTTTTGCTTAAAATTGAGTCCAGCATGTTATTTTCCAGCTTATCTCACCACCTTTTTTTTTTTTTCCCTTCTAGTGTGTCCCATCCCTTCAGATTCATTCTTGGAATTTAATATCTCCCGTTGATGATTTCTTTTCCTTATCTTCCCTTGATCCATTTCTGCTTCTCTTTCAGATTCTGTCCCCTTGAGTCTCCAACTAATGTCTCCCCATATGTCAGATTAAAAGAAAAAAGAATTTACAAGATGCTGGGCTATGAAAGGAAGTAGAGAATGTTTATATGGTTGCAGCAGACTGACCATTAAAGTGACTTTATTTCTACATCATTTCATATGCTGGCCTTGACAGTTTCATTTCCAAAACTATTTATACTCACAAAAGTCCAGAACAGCATTTCCATTATTTCCTTATATGATTTTTTTTTGCCTCTATTTTATCAAGTTATCTTCTTCTATTCAGGCCTGATTTCAGACAATAGGAATACAAAGTGGAAAAATCCTTTCTTAAAGAGACTGTAGCTTTTTTTATCTATTAAAGCATCTTCCTGTGTCCCAACACATTTTTATCTCTGTCTTCTTTTCAGCTTCTCCTGTTGATTTGATCCAATGGACTGACATGCAGGGGAGACTCAGATGAAAGTTGCATCTGAGGAGTGTTTGTGCTCATAGCTGAGGAACCTTCCCAAAGCTGCCTTCCTCATTATCCACCAAAGTCCTCCTGCTGTTCCACATACTAATTCCACAGGGTGGAATTAATGCTTTCACATGGCAAAGGCCAACTGTAACTGTTGCTTCACACTGAAAACACAGAGGGAGAAGGTGTTTCACTAAACCATCACCAGTGGACATCACAACAGGTAGGATGGATAAAAATTATCAATTTTATTTTCCTGCTTTTCTAAATGCAATGTGGTCCAAGACTTTATATATGTGATGTTCCATTTTTGCTTCCTTGCAAGAAAATAAACCAACCAAGCCACAATGTGCAGTTTTGAAAAGGAAACTACGACTAGCATTAAATATCCTTGAAGAACATGTATTAAATTCTGTGCATTTATTGTCTTGAATTCTGGCACACTTTGCATAAAGAGGTTGTGGATTACCCTTCACTGACAATTTGTAAGAACAAGTTAAATGAACACGTTAGGAGGTGTCCAGGTGTAACTTGCTCCTTGCTGCAGGAATAAAATCAGTGATTCCCAGGCTTTTTTAGTCTGGGAAACCACTGCCAGCCCTCAGGACTTCTGCCACCAGCCCCCCTCAGTGCCAGTGCTTGTTGCAAACATCATAAAGACAACGCTCGCTGTGATTTCAGAGATTAATTTGGGAGCCCACGGCTTTGCTTCCCCCCAGCTCTGCACTCCCACGGCTCTGGGCTGTTGCTCTGCTTCCAGGGCAATGGTGGGGAAAGTCTGTGATGGAGTGTGATCATAGGAACAGTCTGAGCTCCAGCCCTGACTCCAGTCCCTTTTCCTTGCTGGGAGACTCTGCTCTCCCAGGAGGGGCAGCAGGTTGGTTGCTCCCTGTGGAGCTGCTTGGCAGGGTGACAGCCCCTGCCTGCCAAGCACTGCCTTTCTTTGATGTGCTGCTTGGGGAGAGAAACTGCCAGTGGACAAAAGAGGCCTTTTTTTAAAGAGCTGGGTGAAGATGGGTTCTCTCCTTAAACCCCAGTGCCAGTACCACCTACTGCAGGTGTGCACAAACAAAACAGCCACGCTCAGTTTGGGGCCCTGCCTTCCCCTGGCAGGGCAGGAGCAGCCAAGGGGAACTGTTGGTCTTGGTGTACCATGAAAAGTCACCAGGATCAGGTAGATTTGACAGCTTTAGTCATGTACTTTAAAGCTGGTGCCAATTGCAAGTGCAGGATGGAATGGATTGTAGGAGAGATGAGGAGCTCCCTGAACTGATTTAAGATGAGTGAAGGTGCTGTAAAAAGGACACATGCAAGGCCCAGGGGAGTCAGAGCAAAGAATCTTGTTAATGTTTATGGGCTTTTGATCAAGTCCTTAAGACAGACTCAAGATTTAAGATGTTCTGACTTTGAAACAAAGGCTCTGGTGCAATTACACAATTTCTATTATCCTCCTTTAAACTGGTGTGTGTTATTCATCATACTGATCAGAACATGCTTTACATCACTGCACTATTTCTGGTTTCATCACTGTGATAAACTTAGGAACCTTTTGCAGCCTGTGAAGTTTGTACACTTCCTTCAGATCCTTCAGCTGGCTTGTGAAAGTGCTTTTTCAGTTTTAAAGGAAAAAATTTATGTTTGTTTTCGCCAATTAGGGATTCCCGAGGGGTAAATCTAAAACTATAACAATGATTGTGATAAACTTAGTGACCCTTTTCAGCCTCTGAAGCTTCATTTAGCTCATAAAAGTGCTTTTTAAATTTTAAAGGACAAAATTTATGAGGGGTTTTTTTTAATTTTTATTTCACCAATTAGAGATTATTAGGGCCTGGTGGTACTCTGAAAATACAGCTTCTAGTGCAGCTTCATCTTTGCCTCTTTCAGAGCTTTCCATCCTCTCCCTTTGTGTGGAATGTGCCTGTTGCTGCCATCTCCTCAGAACAGAGGGCTACCTGTTTGGTATCCTCAGGATTTGCAGGTTTTAATTAGAATGGATTTATGTTGATTAGAGTTGATGGGATTGAAATGCCATGGAGTTATTAATTTCCTAGTTTTAATTTTGCTACTTAGTCACACGTTACCAAAAATATCTCAGAAATGTGGGTTTTTTCCCTCGTAAAGTGGCAAACCAAAGAAACAAATGCACTGCAGCATTCCCTCAGTTTGGGGATCAACTCCTGACTTGTCATTCTGTGGATGGATGAAAATGAAAAGAAATACTTGCAGCCAAGATTTCTTAGATTTTCTTTGAAAACAGAAGGAAAACTTGTAGGATTTGCTGTTATGATTTGCTTGATTTCTTTTTATGGTTTGAATGGCAACGACCATAATTCCTCAAAATTCCAAAATTTCAAAGTGTCCATTATAATTTTAATCTCTGTAGCATATGCAGGACAGGCCAAGATTCTGGGCAGGAATTAATATTAGGAATTAATACTTCCATTTTAGCAGGTGGGGAAGTGAGGCATAAAATAACCTGTCCAGTTCAAGAGTCATTACAGTCAGTCTAAAAGTGCATCTTCAGCTCTCACTGGAACAGGGTAAGGTCTTATGCAGGTGGACTGTGGGCTGCTCATCTCTGCAGGGAGGAATAAAAGCAACACCAGAATTCCCAGAGCAGATAAAAATTCAAATGCTCCTCTTTCCAAACGTCTCCTCTGAGCCCACTGGGGAGCACTGAGCACAGGGGCAGCTGGGAGTCAGGGGTTTTACAGAAGAGGAGGTCACTTCAGAGAATGTTCATATTCAGTGCTGGCATTCAACTAGTTCCTACAACTTCAGGGTAAAGATTCCTGCAGCAATCCATCCTGAAGATAAATTCACAGCTTCTCTCAGCGTGTCTCTTCTTTCTGTAATCAAACCCATTCCTCACTCAGGGCAAGAGCAGTAAACTCCAAATTTCTTTTGATGAAAGCACAGCTGAGCATTCCATAGTGTGTCCAAATAATGCCAATTGCTGCAACAGTACATTTCCTACAGACTTAAGTCCTCTCCTTAATATTCTGTGGATCTGGAGACAGCTGGCTGAAGCCAACAAGTTAAGCTTGATGATAAATTTGCTCCAGCATATTTAGAAGCATCTGTAAATAATGTCTAAATGAAAATATCCCATGCTTGTTTCAGAATGCCAAGCACACCAACTTCTGTCTGCTTCAGTCCTTATTTTAACTCTGTTTCTGGTTTGCTAACACTTGGAATTCTGGTCAAGGGGGAATTTCCTAAGGGAAAGCAGGCTCTTGAAGGCTCTCCTGAGGGAGAACAGCCTCTCTGGGAAGGAGCAGAACTTTGGGGAACCTCAGTTTATTGGGGAAGGCAGAGGGAGTGAATCAACATTCTTCTGGAGCTGCTGCTTCTCTGCCCCCTTTTTTTTGGTCTGTACTTGCTCTTGGCAGTTCCAGCCTTTGGGTTTGGGTGAAAGAGAAACTCAAAGAGATCCAAACTCAAGAGATTGGTCATAATCAAACAAGGAACTCAACCACAAATACAGCTGATAATGTTCAACCTGTAAATGCCTGTTTGCTGGTGTGAGGTTGGGATTGGGTCAAATTCCTCCCATAGCCTGGATTCTACCTCAGGCAGGACTAGGAGGGATGTCCTGGAGACAAGCAGGACCCTGGTGGGTAAATTGTCTTTTAGCTCTCAAAACCAGAAGGTGAAGCAGTTTCTTGCTTCAGCTGCAGTGTGGGTTTTCTTGACAGAAAAAAATCCAGTCTTTGCAGCTTTCCAAATAAGAGTTTTCACAAGAAAGCCAAGGCTGCTTTGACCTATGTGACATTGCTGTTAATTATGCATTATAAAAGCTGCTGCTGGTAGTTTTTTTTCATGGTGAGGGGTCTCGTCGCTTCCCAGTTCAGATGTATAACTCTCATTAACATTAATAAGAATTTAGGTGTTGTGGAGGTTAGTCAACAACTCTGCCATAGAATAAAGTGAAATATGAGTGCAGGAGTTGCCTTTAAATGAGAGTAAATTCTTGCAATCATTATTTGGAGGGATCGGGGATAGATCAGGGAATTCAAACAGAACCTGTGCAGAACTGGCTCTAGTTCAGGCTGTATTTTCTATCCTGCCTCCAACTAATATGTTTGTATTGGGTTTGGACACTTTGTCTGGGAGAAGGGAGTCGTGCATAAATGAGGCCAAGGCTGTTATTCAGTGTTATTAATGATGTTGTCTACTCTTAGTTTCTCAAAAACCAGAAAACTAATAAATTTTACATATTGGGAAAAAAATCACAGATAAATCAAACAAACATATAAATTCTTTAAAGTATTTAATATGTGTTAAGAGGACACAATGATGAATTCAATATTGAAAACCAATATCAAGTTTACAATTATGGCCCATTTATCATCACTGATTGCACAGACAGTGTATTATTGCAGGGAACAGAATGATGCATAAACTAAAACCCTGATTGGTTTTCTAAAAAAAACCCCACAAGTTAAAATTCATGTTATGTCTGAAAAGCTTTGTTTTTCTTTTTCAAGCATTATGTTCAATAATAATTGCTCATTCAGACACAAATGATGCATATTTAATTTCTTGAGCTTTAATATTAACAGAATGATAATTTCAGAGCGTTGATAACTGATGCTGTTACAAACAATAACATGATTCAGTTTGCTGATGTTTCCTGAGGCCCAACTGCCCCTTGGAGCAAAAGGAACCCGTGGAAAGGGAAAAAGTGGACAGGAACTGGTTTTGAATTGGACATGGAGAGGCAAGGAGAGGAAAGCAGGAAAACGCTCTTGGAAGGGGAATGGGCTTTGAAGAGAAAACATGTCCAAGTGGCTGGTTTTCACTCAGCACTTCTCCCAGGGTATAGCTGTGCCTCCCCAGGAGTCAGAGCTCTCAGTGACTCCAGTGCTGTCCAGCTCTGTTGTCTGCACTGAAGGACATTCCTGCTCACCTTTCTGAAAGGCTGCACTTCCTTAAACTCCTGTCACCCCAGCTGAGCTCTGGGAGAGGGAAATGAATTCTTCTCTGGCTCACACTTTATCAGCAGAATTATTAAGCAGTTTTCTGTGCAGAGTCACTCTTGTAATACACTCTTGCTTGCTTTTTTTTTTTTTTTTGCCTTTTTTTCCCCCCAATCCTTTTCTCATTTCCATGTTGGTGCTCAGGCTTCCTGGGGATAACCAGTTATCATTTCACCAAACTGAGCCTGTGCACTCACATAACTGAGAGTTATTTTGTCCTTCGGAATTTCAACAACTCATTCTGATTTATGAAAGGTTCTTTCTAAGCTTAAAGATTCAGCTGGAGTTTACAGAGTTATAACTCTAGGCTACACTCATTGAGTCAACAAAAATAAGGGGAAAAAAAAGAAAGCCAAACTGTCTTTTTATATCTTTATTTGTAAACTGCCCATTTTAAAAACAGAAGCACTGGACTAGAACCAGTTTGCTGCAATCTAGTGCTGTTTGTACTGAATGTCTTCTTAGAAGGGGGTTGCATTTAAATGGAGACCAATAATAAATGAATATTCTAGTAGTCACCCTCAAATGTAGAACACATCCACAGCCAGATTCATTGGCATTTGCTACCCTCTGCTGCCCTGCAAGTAGACAACCATATTGGAGAGAATTCCAGAACTTTCCAAGTGAAATAAATGAGCTGGATGGGATTTTACAGGAGAAAGAAGAGCAGGGCTGAATGCTTTGTGTCAAAGATCTGCAAACACCTATAGAACAGTGTGATATCTTGGTTTTCATTGATGCCCAGGGCACTCAGAGTTTGACAGGCCACTTCTTTGGAAAGTTTTAAAGAGAACTCTGAAAGGGAAAGAAAAAAAAGAATTGAAATTATAGCAGCAGGCTGGCCTAATTAATTTTAAACATTTTGTGCATTTCAGGGAGCATCTTACTGTTTAAAAACTAAAATCAGGGATGCTAAATAGTTCCCCAACTGGAAACTGGTGACAAAACTGAGTTATAAACAATGCCATCAGGACAGAGCAACTGGTGGGTTTAATATTCTTATACAAACAACAAAACCTAATTATCTTTATTTATTCAATAAATTGAGTTCAAATTTGATCTATTAAATTGTATTAAATATTGAAAATAATTTAATAAATAAACACGATTGCTAATTTATTATTGATATTCATCATTGGGATGTTTGTAAAAAATAATTAAAAACAAGTTGGGAAAGAGGGGGCTGAATTCACTTCAGGCACTTCAGAACTGCTGCAGAACCTGCTTAGTTTGCCACAGTCAGAGGTAATGAAGAAAAATAGCTTGTGGAGCTGGTGAGGGAGCAGAGCTGGGCTTGGAAAAGGAGGTGGGAAAGGAGGAATCACTCCAGCACACACGGATTCCTCCCTGGTGCAACATCCTGGGCAGGCTGCAAACCAGGCCAGCCCAGCAAGGGGCAGGTTGGGAACCCAGAGGCACCAACGCAGTGTGGGAGTGGAGGAGTTTTTTGGGAAGCTGGGAGATTGCAGGGAGTCCCCCGTGGAAGCTTTGTACCAGTGCTGGCCCGAACTGTCTCCATCCTGAAACGCTGCCACCACCTGCAGTCATGTCCTGGCAGGGGACCAAGAGACACACGGTGCAGGACAAAGGATTTTGGCAGCCTCACATGGCCATAAAATATTGTACAATGTGGGGATTCATCATGTGCCTACGGGGACAAAAAAAGTTCTGTGAGCCATTTTGGTGTGTGATCAAAAAGGGGCTTGGTCTTATGTTTCTTACATATATTCCTGAGACGATAAAAAGGCAGCAACCCAGCCAACATTATTATTCCAATTAGAAAATAATCACTAATAGTACATAGCACAAGTAGAGCATTTCATCTTGAACAGCCTGTGCAAGCTTAAGGTTCCTGGCTAAGAGCTGAGTGCAGCTGTTCAGATCACCTGTCATGAGCCTTTTGCTCTAATGATTTAAATCATTACACGTTTGTAACTTCTGGTACATCTTTCAGGAAGAAAATGACAACCACGGGGTGCGATTCCTTCCCCGGCTGATGCCGCTCTGAGCATCCAGAGCCAGCCGAAGGCAGCAGCGGTACAGTCGCTGTGACAGTGCGAGGGCAGAAGCTCTGGACGGTAGAGGATGCTAGAGAAGAGGTAAATTCTCCACCGCGCTTCTCCCTGGCACCATCCCCTCATTTATCGATACCTCGTAAGCAGCTTCTCCCCATCCCGGGGCTGGTTTTAGGCACCGAGAGCTGCGGGTGCTCCCGTGGGTGTGCAAACCGAGGCACCCTGAAACGGCTCCCGAAGTTTGCGCGATCTCCCGCTGGAATCTGAGAGGTCTCTGCTCTGGGGATCCCGGTTTTCCAGCCGCAGGAGGCAGGGAGCCGTGCCTTCCCCCCCATCTCCTACCTCTGCTGAGCCGCCAAGTGTTTCTCCCTCAGCTATAGTTTCCTCATCCCCCCGTGCGCTGCTCGGGATGCCGGGGTGGCGGTCTGATTCTTTGTCCTTCTAGTCTATTTAAGGCATTTTAATGGAATCGGGCGGAGAAAAAACCCAAAACACACACACAACGCCCGAGGCATCAGGACTAGACCCGACCCCCCCCTTCCCTCAAACAAACAACAAATGGTTAAATAAATAACGAGGTGCCAAACCGACCATCGCCAAAACGAATAAGCCAAAAATCAGCGTCAGCGCCGCAGCAAACGGGAAAGTTTCTGCGCTCTGACGCTGGAACCGCGCAGCAAAGCAGGAATCCGGGGGAGGGAGCGGAGCCTGCGGGAGAAGGGATGCACTGGTGTG